TTAGAAATTTAAAGCATTAGTCAAAAATTGTGTTATGAATATGGAAAAAAACAAATCATATAAGTCGCTTCGACATACAAGTCGCAGGACTGACAAATCTATGCAAAAAAAAAAACCTGTGACTTATACGCCAGAAAATACGGTACTCTGGAAGGCCAGAGAAACTTTGTGAGTTTGTCATTTTATGGAGAGGTGGAGATAAAGAGGCAGTGATCTAAGAAAACGTGTGTAGTGACAGTCAATGATGCTTTGTGTTCAGAAGATTCCACTATAATTGTGCAACCAAGCCACATCAACAAAACCTGTGCCCTAAAGTCCTGATTATTAATGATCTCACTTTGTGTAACGTGAGCGTTAGCATGAATACCTCTGAAGTCGTTACCTTCTACTGTAAACTGTGTATCATCATCTTTTTTTAACAAATTAAAATGCTTTGTAGATGGTGTTGCATCTTACTCTTGTTTCATCTTCTCTCTGATCGTGACTCCCTCTAAGCGCCCAGAGCAAAAGAAGCAATCAAAGATAAGAAAGACTTAGAGCTTGGAAAACCTGTAGAGCTGTGAAGAATGAGACAGAAGGAGAAAATAAATTAAAGTAGCTGAAGGTTTTATAGAGTTCGGAGGTGTTTCTTTTCTTTTTATATATATATATATATATATATAGTGCCGGAGTGGGGAGAGGCAGCGCAGACGGATACATGGGGATCACTCAGATCACCCGTGAGGATGACAACAACGCCAAAAGCTTTAGCCGGGCTTTCAGCTTCAGTGACAACACTTCAAGGAAGGAGCTGTAGAGAGACGGATGTGTGGGGAAAATAAAGGAGATCCACTGCTTCTTTCTGAACCCGGTCTCTCCCACTGATCCAAAATCAAACAGCATGCAGACCTGTAGAGAGGCAGCTGGGTGTGACAGGCTCTTTTCCTGCATCTTCACCCGGAGTCTGTTTAGCAGTCCCTCTCTCCGGCTGAAGGGAGAGAGAGAGAGAGAGAGAGAGAGAGGAAGGGAGGAGAGATGCAGCCTTCCTTCCCTGGTTGTTTAACTTGTGGAGCAGCCAGGGGATATATTTGTGTGCGCGTGTGTGTTTTTGAAAAGATTTGTGGCCTCGGACTCTGACAAAACCTCTGGTTGAGTCTTTCTTTGGTGGACAGATGGAACAACAAGTTTTCTTTCTCATCCGCACTTATGGACCCCCCCCCCCCCCCCAACACCACCGTTCTCGAGCTAAAAGTGGAGAAATATGAAACCACCTGCCTCCCCCATCTCCCCTTCTTTACCCTTCCTAACTCCCTCCCCTCCTTTTGCTCCTTCTCCCTCAAGGACAGCCCACTGTCTGCCCCGGGGGCTGTTTATCTATGGGGGGAGCTGAGGTGGAGTGGAGAGGACGGGTTTGTTTCGTTTTGGCCGTCAACAATGGACCTCAGTCAGTGCTGACGGATTACTCCAACATATGGTACCCACCTGTCTCTTTCTCTCTCCCTCCGTTTCTTCCCCCTTCCTCCTCCTCCTCCTCCTTTCCTATGCTTCTCTGTTTAGTTCTCTTTACTTATTCTTGCGTTCTCCCCCGCTCTGTGTCACCCCAAACACACTGTGCAGATTAGAGGCCAGATTCATCACACATACGCACAGACCTGTTTGCTTTAGCAACCTGAGCCAGGCACCACACAAACACACACACGTACACACACACACAGGGTTTAAAACTAATGGGGCCTTGTTGTTAACTTTTTGCTCCAATTTGAGATTCAACTTTTACTCTGACGTCTCAGTCGTTCCGGGTGAAGCAGATTCCTTTCTGGACACGTTCTTGAATCCTGCTTGGCGTCACACATCGACACCTAACATGTCAGGATGAATCCATTTAAACTCCCTGCATTTTGTTTTAATAGGGTTTCTAACTGGCCCACCAGCACACACACACACACACAC